GGAATATCGCCTCGTTTTGAGGGGGGGGGGGATTTCCTTGAGTTTGCCCCTCAAATGCCCCCCCCAAATTTGGAAGCCTGGCGCCGCCACTGACCTAATAATAATAAATAAACGAACGAATGTATTCCTTCCACTCGTGAGCTCATTTACCATTGTCACATATGGTAAATGTCCAGGCCTTGTGACCCTGGATGGGCACTAGCTCACGAGTGGAAGGAATACATTCGTTCGTTTGTTTATTATTATTAGGTATATATCTAGAAAAGGGTATGTATATCGCTGGAAACTCAGTGAGCGTTTTTATGTTGTTATTTTATTTCCTGAGTACGGGTCTTCGACCAATTTCATTGTTATTCTGTTGTAGTTACGAACCCATATAATGATGAAATTATTTTACTAATTTTGTAGTTTGTGCGGCTATGAAACTTCATTATATCTAAAAGGAGGGGCCATGAAAAAAATATTTTGAAAGAATGAGGGGCCATGAAAATTTATCACGAGTTTAGAAATATCTTCCAGCCCACCCCCGATATTAATAATATTGACTTCTCCCTAATGGATAAAATAGCCAGGGAAATGGAGTGCTTGGCACGAAATCCAAATTGTCTGTCGTACAATTAATTATTCTTATCAATGTAATTTATAAGTCTACGGTAAATCAATCTTTCTAGGATTCTATTTAAAACAGAAAGTAATGATATAGGTCGATAATTTGATAGGTTCATATAATGTAATTCTTTTTTATAGACAGCTAAAACCCTTGCAATTTTAAAAAAGCTGTCGAAATTGATAGATTATATAATATTTCTAAAGGAGTCAACATCAAATATTTCAATCTTTTTATTATATGAACTGAAATACTGTAAGGTCCCACTGTTTTACTAGGATTTAAAGCATTTATTTCATTTTCTATTTCACTTTGAGTAATGGGATAAAGAAACAAACTATGTGGCTGGTTAGATGGCATGAAAGACAATGGTGATTTATCCACAGATGGAACTGAACTAGCTAATTTCTCACCAATACCAATGAAAATTTATTAAAAGCATTTGCAATTGATGCTGTATCAGTCAATTCACAACCATCTTCAACAATCTTCGAGGGAGAACTACAACTTGAGGGTTTAGAACTAATGATCCGTTTTATTCCTTTCCAGATATATTTCATACTTCTCGTATTAGACCTAAAGTATTCACCATAATACTGCTTCTTGCTTACTTGCATTAGTCTTTTTAATTTGTTGCGATATAATTAAATTTATTGTGAGCATAGGCATAGCTTGTTCTATAGTTAAGTTGTTATATATATATATATATATATATATATATATATATATATATATATATATATATATATATATATATATATATATATATATATATATATATATATATATATATATATATATATATATATATATATATATTTTATACAATTTATTCTTGACATTAAGAGAAAAACATATGGCACATTGGCACTAGTTATCCAAGGTTTCGACATATGCTTTATTTTCTTTCTACTGATCAGTTTTATAGTGGAATATGTTTGTTAATAATATTAGATAATTCAAAATAAAAAGAGCCAATTAAGATAGTATTAACATCATCAGTCTCAGGAAGTTTAATATGCCAGTCTATCATTTCCGTCAAGATCATTAATGAGCTTGCATTCATCATAGTTGGAATAATCTCTCTTATACATTTTAAAGTGTTTAGGAAGAGTATAGTAAATTAATTCATTAATAGAGTTGAAAAATCTGTTTTCAATTCATGTTAGCAGAGTGATCAGTTATCCGAGTAGGCTGAGTTGGTTGATAGGAATCTATATTAATTTTATAGTAAATTTATATTAAAATCACCCATAATAACACAGAGATTGCTCTCTCGATTAAACTACTTTTGGGGTGTCTATATATAACACCATGCACATAGAAGATTTTGTTGCATATTACTATGAATCTCAATCCTCAATGCTTCATAATCAACCGTTGAAACTGAGAGATCATCCCTCAAGTTGAAACTCACTGATTAGACACAAAGAACCCAGCTAAGCTATTATTAAGGCTTGGCTGTGAAAGAAACAACCTGGAATATTAGTATTGACACATTATTCTCAGTTTTTGTTTAGGATCTTAGTTTCAGTTAAACCTGCAATTAAAGAAAAATTATAATTTCATTCGCATAATAATTCATCATGCATATGATCAGTTCAGTGACTATCAAAATTAGCACTACTAGACTTCGGATATTAGAATGCATGCATGACAGAAAATTGCTGATTAAAAGTAGTTGAACAATTTCTTATTTCTGTACTATTATGGAACTCATCCGTTGTATAATATTCAAAATTTGATTTTATAATATAGCATTTGTAAATTCTAAACGCTGATTGGCTAAGAGCCGTGTTGATATAACTCAATGTCAACACGGAAACGTCGGAAAATTTATTTCTTTATATTTCTTTGTGCTATATTATAAAACAAATATAAAACATTTTTTCCATATTGATATACAGTTATATCGACACTCGTGGAAATTGGGAAAGCTCGAAATTGTGTGAAAACACTCCGCCCTTCGGGCGTCGTGTTTCCACACAATTTCTCGTTTTCCCAATTCAGCTCCACTCGTGTTTGATATAACTGTATATCAATACGGAAAATGGTTTATATTTGTTAAGTATTGCATGGGATGTTTAGGTCAAGGTCAAGATTAGTAAGACTTGAATTTAAAATTAATGAAGAAAGATTTCAAATCGGGGCAGATTAATTATCCAAGCTACAGTCAATCATTGAGAATGAGTTTGGTTATTAATACACTTAAATTACTTAATAATATAACATTTGACAATTAGAGAACTTAGCTGTCACCATTATCATATAATTTTTCAATGTCACTCTCATCATGAACTGCTACAGTATAACTATCAGCATCACGACGTAAGAATATTTTGCCAGCGGATAAAGTCCATAAGAATTTATATTTCAAATCTCTTTTAGCTCGAAGGCATTGATTAATTAAATAATGCTTTATTCTTCTGAGTGAGGCTTTCTGCGGTAAATATTTTCTGCCCAGAGGAACCTATTATACCGAGATCATTCGTGGTTTTGTTGCGGAGATTACTTCTTGCTTTATAGTAGGAATCTCTTATCTCTCACATCTCTTCTGACAAATTTGACAATATTAGCTGGATCATATTGAACACCATGTCTAGTGGAAGAAGCCCTTGATTTGGGAAGGCGAATGTTTATGGATATATCCGAATCACTCACATTAACACCAATCAGTTTGCCAACATTTTTGACGATGGCATTAGTGTTTTGATCATGTTGATCCCTTACTGGAATGCCACGAATCTCTAGACAATCACGCCTTGAGTATTGTTTCATGTCATTCAGATTATTGTTGACTGTAGACATCTCACGAGATAAATTATTTAAGTCAGACGTCAGGGTCTTTCATCAGAACTTCTTTTTCGGATTCAAGTGCATCTACTTTTGATAAAAGTTCATCATATTTCTTGCTTAAGCACTCCATTGATCCCTTAATTTTTCGCATGGTCATACTAACTCTCGACAGATTATCATTAAGAGGGGATAATTTTTGATCCAACAGCTTTCCCAGTATCTTTTCGATGGATTTTTCATCCATTATATAAATTGTAATTGATCCAAACTGGACAAAATAGGAATATCACGTTGGCAAGGCTGCTAAAATATTACAAAATTAAGCCTTATGAGTTTCTTCGTTGTTTGTGAAGTCTGGTCCCCTCACCATTGTTCCCAGAAGATCAAACTGGAACAAATGCAAAGGCGTGCCACTTTAACTTATAACTTATAATTTCATCCATTATACGTACCGTTTAAAAAAATATCATTTTATGCCAATTTTATGTTACTTCAAAACATCTATGGTTACATTCGTGCAAAGAATTACGTTAAAATCAATGTTTTAAAAAAAGGCATACAAAAGTGTAGCTAGGGTTCCCTGTGTCTGTAGTATATTTATTTACTTGTATTTCACGTTTTAATGCCACAATTCCCTAAAAAGGTCGGTGACCCCCGTTTTTTAACTGATAATTTAGTTCTTTACTGCATTTTACATTTCATATCCGAAATTAAAAGAAAAATTATTTCTGGATCTTGAAAAAAAATGCTTTATCAATCACTCGTGCCTATCACTCGTGTGAAACTGCCCTTATTAACATAACTGACAAGTGGCTCAAAGCAATGGATGATGGTGAACTTATTGGGTCTGTCTTCATGGATTTTAGTAAGGCGTTTGATTTAGTCAATCATGATGTACTTCTAAGGAAACTTGCTAAATACCATATTAGTCAACAGACCTTGCAGTGGTTTACATCCTATTTAGATGGTCGCTCTCAACAATGTTCTGTATTAGGATCACTTTCAAGGCCTCTGATGTTGGAACAAGGAGTTCCACAAGGATCGATATTGGGACCCATACTCTTTTCCATATATATAAATGACCTGCCAATGTCACTTGGAGAAACTAACGCGGATATTTACGCGGATGATACAACACTTTGGTCGAGTAGCAAGTCGTGTGATGAAATCCAGCAAACATTACAAAACGCATTGGACATTACAGAACAATGGCTCACAGTCAACAATATGGTATCAAATACTACTAAAACAAAGAAATTATTGATTGGAACAGTGCAAAAACTTCGTCATTCTGACAAAGATGAATTGGATCTCTATCTGAATGGAACTAAGGTCGGTGAGATAAAAAACGAAAAGCTTTTGGGAATCAAACTTGATAAACATTTAAAATGGAACAAACACATTGAGTATCTGATTAGAAAACTAAACTCTAGAATTTGTCTCCTGAAAAGGGCGAAAGAACATCTAACAATTCACTGTAGAAAGTTACTCTACAATGCGATTATAAAACCTATCCTAGAGTACTGCTGTACTGTTTGGGGCAATTGCTCCAAAGAACAACTCATCAGATTATTGAAAATCCAAAAACGATGTGCAAGACTGATACTCAATGCTAATTTCCGCGATAACTCTGTCAAACTATTTACAGAGTTAGGATGGCTGCCAATTTCCGACATTATAAGCTGCCGAAAGCTTTATATGTTACATAAAATTAGTTTAGGGCATTGCTCAGATTATTTTTCGGAATACATACGTTATCTGAAAGATTCGCATAATTACAATACTAGAGCATCAACCAATAGAAATGCTGTAATACCTACTTACAAAAAGGTATCAGGATCGCGAATGTTTCAAACAAGCGCAATTAATCTCTGGAACACTGTTGAAGTCTCTCTCCGAGACATGCTCTCGCACAAACAATTTGTGAACAAATTAGAACAGGAGCGTCTACTAGAGAACGCTCAATTGCAACACTTTAGCATAGAGACTACATTTTAGTATATATTTTTTCTAAATTGTATTTATATATATATATCGTATAGATAGGAGGCCCATAATGAAAACTATTGGGAAACCAATAATGTATGTTAGCCTCGTTAAATAAAGTCATATTATTATTATTATTATTATTATTATTATTATTATGTTCTCAAAGAAAGATATGTAAAGAAATGTGCAAAAGACATTTGTGGATCAGAATTGTACACGTTACTTGTTTCATTTTGCTCAAAACACAATATTTTTTCAAAAATAATTACAAAATAGGTTTACTAAAGAAAATCCGCGCTAAAAACGTCAACAAATATCGGGCTGTTGTGAGTTTGCTGTTACTCTTAATGAGCGTCAAGATGTGCCATATTGGGGTAAAGGTGGTATATTGTGATTGTCATATCTTCTTAACGAGTTCGGTGACCTCGACTTTTTTGTGTGATTTTACTTTAAATATATGATAAACTCCATGCCTGGGACGTTTCAGCACATTCTCATTTCGCGGAACAATTACTGCGGAATTACCTTAAGAGTTAAGGTGGGAGACGTTACTTACAGAGACAGACTACCTACAATCGCACGCAAAAATAATGAGACTTTTCACATAAAGTACATCGGCCTCCCCTCTGTCCCCATGATAAATGTTGGAAAAAGTGCATGGGTTGAATTTTCTCTTTTCAGTCATCCACACAACATTCGGAATTGGGGGTGAGGGGGACATTTATGCGGTTGTCTCAACAATTTTTGCTCCTGATTGTCTCTATTTGTACTTTTGAATGAAACGCAATTCGTTCATGTTGATTCAACTTAGTGCTCCAGGGAAGACGCTGACTTGGATTTCTTGCTTAGTGAAGCCTCCCCTCCGTCCGCCAAGCAAAGCCAATTACACTTATAACTAAAACTTTTGTGCAGTGGTTGTGGTTTTGTTTTCAGTTACAACCCAATACTTTATTGCATACAATGGCATTACAACGCCAATAAACTATTGGTTACAACGTGCGGAACGGGTGACCTTTTGCTATATAATATTTTTTCTCAGCGGTTTTCTATAACTGAGTACTTCATGTAAAAAGAATATAGGGGATCTTGAGAACTATTATTAATAGTTATTTTTTGTTAGGAAAGGACTTGATGAATATATACATTGGAGGAGGATTATAAAATAATGAATAAATTTCAGACTATTTTTCCCATGGCTGACAATCATGAGTATATATTTTTCTCTCAGACAGAATATTTTCTTTAAGTTCAAGTATTTTATAACAGACAACGCATCGTTCTGACCTACTTGCATACAATTTTGGAAAAATTTCAATGATTTTCCTACTTTTAGCTGATTTGTTACGCAAGATTGACATACTCACTGGATTTTAAACCCAATTCCATCTTTTTATTTATGTTGATATACGGACTTACCGATCGTAAACTTGCACTAGAATTTATTGCAAACTTTCATCTCCTATGAATTTATATATTTATTTTTAAAAACAATGGGTGTAACGTGTGTAACGTGTCATATTTCTATATATTTTACTATAGATTATTATGTAAAGTAGGTGTAACGTGTAGTGTAACGTGTGTGTAACGTGTCGGCGTTGGCTTAATGAAGCCAAGTGCATAAAATTTACATGAACTAACACTTTAGATTAGTTGGTGAACATCCCACAAGCACAACAGCACATGCTGCAGTATAAATGACAAAGTTTTCTTATTTTTCGTCATACGGCTAAGCTGAGGAACTGTTACATAATGACTCCCTCCTCAGGAAATGATGGCTAATTGAGCTTGAAAGGACGTAAGAGTAGTTAAAACACTACATTAGATTTTTATGGTTTATTGGATGTGTCTTACTATATCGCAAAGTATTTTAATAGATCGTATTTAGCCTACAACTTGTCTATTTTACCAAAGATTTTTCTCTAGTAAGTAAATGATAGTAAAAAATTAAATCCGTTAGAAAAGCTTCTTTATTCTGGCCCAGTCCCCCGCGCAGCCTCTTTGCAGAATTTCTACATTTTGGGGGACAAAAAACTTAATCGGTTAATTGATTGAAATATGTCAATTTCATGTCAACTTGATCGCTAGAGTTTGGCAAAATTTCAAATTTTGGACAGCTAACCCCCAGACAGCTCCATCTCAGACAATCGCGTGCAAAAATAATAAGACTTTTCACATTTTTGGCCATTTTAAAGTACATCGGCCTCCCCCCTGCCCCATGATCAATGTTGGAAAAAGTGGGTTGAATTTTCTCTTTTCAGTCATCCACGCAACATTGAATTGGGGGTGAGGGGGGGGGGGCATTTATGCGGTTGTCTCAATAATTTTTCCTCCAGTGATTGTAGTCTTGATCTGTTACCTCGTGTGTTATTATCGTGAATTAAGAGACACATGGTTTAAATGTTATATCCAAAATAGGAAACAGATTTGTTTAATGAATGGGAAAAAAATCATACGCTAGAGAAATTAGATGTGGGGTACTGCAAGTATCTAATCTTGGCCCCATTCTATTTTTCTTGTATATTAATGATCTACCTAAGTGTCCAGAAACAACCAAGGCTAATTTGTTTGCTGTCATTGCTGATGACACAAATCTTTCGTGTGCCTGTTTAGATCCCAATGAAATCGAGACTAAACTTAAAAGAGATCTTGAGAATGTCCATAGTTGATTTAGATGCAACAAGCTCACGTTAAACGATAGCAAAAGGGAATTTATGATAATTGCAGGGGCGCAGATATCGTCTCGCCCGTTATCTAGCCATAGGAGATAATAATATTAATTAAACGTTTAAACGTTTCACCAGCAAAAAATCTCTTGGTTTTATTATCGACGATCAATTAAAGTGGGCTATACACGTTGACGCACACAGGGCCGTAGCTAGAACGATAATTGGGGGAGGGGGGGGGTGCATATTCATATATTCATGTTCTGCCCGACGGATTTCTTTTGAAAGCAATTGTTTTTACGGTATGTGAACATGAATATATGAATATACACCCACCCCCACCCCCAATTATCGCATCTAGCTACGGCCCTGGACGCACAACGTAAAAAAAAAAAAAAAAAATTTGCATTATTAAAGGCACAGTTCAGCCTTTTGAACGATGGTTTTTGAGGCGCATTACCGGCCCTTTAATTGACGATTCCCCTTTTTTGTAGCGCTTTGCATTGTGGTTATAGTGGTATCACTGACATTCAAGATGGCTTATTTTTTGTCCTGACTCGTGCAAGAACTTTTAAAAAAAGCTAGGGTCAGGTGCGTGATAGCCAACAGCAAAAGATTCGCGAAAACATTCAATATTTTCATTCGAGACCGCTATCTTTATCAGTGATACCACTATAACCACAATGCAAAGCGCTACAAAAACGTAATCAAGGGGAATCTAGAATTGAAAAACTAAGTAGGAAAATCAATTAAGCATAATTCAAGATCAGTGAACTCAATGTTTTTAACATTGAAAATGTTATGTTAAAAATGTTAAAAAAATTGAAATAACTGATCTCGAAGTATGCTATATAATTGATTTTCCTAGTTAGTTTTTTCAATTAAAAGGGTTTTAATATGCTTAAATTCCATCATTCAAAAGGCTGTACTGTGCCTTTAAGAAGAGCTAAGTCCTTTGTTCCTTTACATATTCTTATCAAAATGTACAATGCTCCTCACCTGACATATTGCTCAACAACATGTAATGATGGATCTATAATTCCATTCTTAACAAACTCTGGCTTTCTAAGTTACAAAGAAGAGCAGCTCGGGTTATCACAGGACATTAATACGAGGTTCGTTCCACTCAAATACTAGAAAGTCTCAATTGGATGCCATGCCAATTGAAGACATTCTAAAGAAACGAGAAACTATCATGACGTTAAAAAGCTTTCTCACACATCATTAGATATTCATAGCATTTCGGCCAATGACATGTTGCCCCGTCTAGACCAGGACTTTAATTACTTAAAGTGGGAAGGCCTTTGAACAATAGGGATATCATATTATGAAATCATATTATCACATTACCTAATGTCATGTGGTAACACGATGTTTACACGAACAGAATTTTATTAATTCTGTTTATAAAATTAACCAATCATTTAAATATTTTGATACACAAAGTTTGTTTCAATATATACTAAGTATGAAAGATAGAAATATTCTGAAATTATCTTCATAATATTGCCACGATATACTAAGAACTTTTGATATATTGCATGAGTTAGTCTGAACAAATTATCTGTAAGTTTATATACTGTAATGTCTTTTTTATATTTTATATTTTGTAACTAATGTATATGTAGGTATTCAATGTACCAATATTAGTATTTGTTTGAATAATGTTTCTCTCTTCTCTATTATGCTAACAATGGACATATCTCTCATGTATTTTTACAGACCATCATACCATGTACAAACGTCGGTTGACATCACTGAGTTGCTATAGACCCTTCGTTGTCACGTATCTTATCTTGGCCTGGGAGCCTCATTCTCATGTTTCAAGATGAACGATGATTGGCTCACAACTGATGAGAGCGAGGCTCCCAGGCCAAAACAAGATATGTGACGTAATTATCGAAAGGGTCTATTACATGTAACTGCTGATATACTGCTGATAAGTGAAAATGTGCAGACAACAATCCACACTGGATTGCTATGGGAATGTCTTTATATTAGCCTGATTATTAAGACGTGTATTCCACTTTTGTTTTTAAAACGTGCTGAAAGCACACAGATCTATAAACATCTAGAATGAATACTATAAACTCATCGCCTTGTCACATCACCACACAAACAAATAAACTAAAAGTACATTGTGACTCCTTGTATAAAGATAAAGACGATCAATCAGTGATCAGTGAGCTATTAAAACTGCCGATAACTAATGAAATCATATTGTTTCAATACCTCTATATCGAACACTAAAAAGCAGATTAAATATGAATGCCTTCTTCATGTATATCACCAGAAAGAAATAAAGCCATCGTTATACCTGGATTATTCCCGCGAAATATTGTCAATCGTTTGCATCGTGAAAATCCAACATACTGCCTGCATGTACTGAATAAGCGCGTAACTGAAATCCTGAGAATCATGCGTGTGTGCAATACAAAATAAAGTTTGACCGTCCCCCTCGTTTAAAAAAACTTAATTATTTCCCTGGAATTACGACATTTTTACAGACAGGCAGACACCATAGATATCTTATATACACTAGATAGTGCATCTAATTATTCTGCAATTCAAAAATTGAGGCCGTGATTGCAGACTCAGGATATTCCCATGAAATGAGAAGATTCGTATGTTTTCTATTTCTTAAACAGGGAACTTAAATAGTAAAGTAAACCTATTCCAAATGCATTTTTAAACTATTCGAATGATGAAAGTTATTGTTGTTTTTTAAGCGTTTATTAGCGAGTGGGAACTACCAACATGGCCGCCATCTATTCAAATGGAGGTAACCGCTGGAATATTCTTGGCTTCAACTTTACTAAAAGAGATGCGCTATATAAGATATCTATGGCAAACACAAATCGCGGAAATCTCGACTATACACAACTCGGCCAAAGAGACTGGACACAAGTAAACGCAATACTTCATGTCAAGAATAGTGTGCTGCCTTCGGCAGCAAAAACGGCGAGCGTTTATGTCACGCCTTTCTCGGCCATCAGAATGCTTAAATTTCTTTAGGCAAATATATAATACTATAAATGACAATATGACATTGTCTGCAAAGCAAAGACATTTCACGACGTATTAATTCTGTACATGTGTTCGTACGTTTCTGTTAGTTACAACTTTGAAACTGTCCGCAAAAGTAGGAACTCAGGTTCGTTGAAAAATGTGATTGTAATATATAACTCTTGGCCGGGTGTGCGTACTTTGTTTTGGCTAGCGAGGCATCTATACTATAGGCTGTTTTCCACTTCAAGCGAACCGTACCGAAACGTATCAAATTTAAATACTTCGCAGTACGCCAAAAAGTTGACTTGCGACGAACTTTTCATTTTAATACGCGAATACACAATGTACGCATACTCACCAGTATGTTTTGGTACGAGACGGTTGAAGTGGAAAATGGCCTTAAGGAGTCTCATGTAAAAAAAGAGTAAAATGGCGGTAGGAAAAGTGAGCTACCCTGGGTTGACTATACATGTATATAAATAGCCCCTAAACGTGACTATAGATAAGATATTTCGTATTCTCTCGGTCTCACCTGCTTGTCGCACGATGTTAAGTGCAAAATGACTTTGTCAAGTTGTCAACGACTGTGGCAGGTGATTCCTAAAATCATGCATATTACCCACCTGCAAGGCTTTTATTTTTAATCAACGTATTATCATATAATTAATCGCATTGTATTTACTTCCTACAGCCCTGAAAACTTATACTGATTCAAGTCAATTAATAATGTATTTCCCCTACACCTGAAATTCAAAACAAAATTAATATCGATATAGTTTTATTCAACAAGGAAGTCCAATGATCTATTGAACAAAGAAGACCAATGTTTTAACAGGACTGAAAAGATAACTAAATATTTGCAATAAAACAAAGCTAAATACTATATGTAAAATATTTCTATTGTACAAAAGTACGAAAGGGGAAAGCGTTAATGTTGACAAATGTTCCGCAAGTTTTTATTCCACTTTTCCCCCTTTTCCTCTCGTTGCCTATTATTCATTAAAGCGTACCAGAAAGCCGTATCTGCTGCGCATCCAAATGACCGCGTTCTGTGTCGAGCCACTGAATTTGAATTCAGTAGTTGAAAGATAACATGCAGCTGAGACTGTGATCATTAAAATATGCATATCAAAGTATTCAGCAATTCAACATTATTTGATGAGTTTCATTTATAGCCACGATATAGACACTTCTTCCTGTCTAAAGCAAAATAAAGAGAGGTACACTTAAATAAGAGAATATATTTTGTAATTTACAATGCGGACCGAGCCCAAACTAATTGTTTTTCGAACAACTTTAATTTTATTCAAATGAATTGAACAGTTGATGATATTTTAGTATGTTTCCTGATGGCGTACAGGTTCAGTGAGTCTTTTTCCGTGCTGGACTGCAATTGTTTCCGGCGGTGGCATTTTCGGGGAAGCTCACATCTTCACCTCACTATATATGCACTGCAACGCAGGCTATTGCTGTGATAAAGAAATCTGCCTCGCGGTTTTCGTACGATTTCTTGTGATTATACAGTACACTGAGACACTGGAAACTATACAGTACACTGAGACTCTTGAAAGACACTGACCAAACTTTTTATAGTTTTGTAGAGAAACAAAAGGTTACAAGCGAATTGTTTGACAAGGTTTAAATCAAGTTTTAAGCGGTGATTGAAACAATTTCATTCCATCTGCAGCGTTAGAAAGTTAGAACGAAGTTACTGAGGATACAGTTCCTGACCTTGGCTTATTTTCTTCCAAGGTCATGCTGCAATTATTATTGTTCAACTGAGATGTCAATTGTGATCTTCGACCGAAACTTAGAGTTTGTTTCATCGCTTGTTTATAGCTGTTTAGCCTAGACAGCCAGAGGATCGGATGAAATACAAAAGTAGTGTAGACACAAGGCAATGTGAAGAGAATAGCTAGATGAAGTTTGGTAGGGTCACCACACGAAGTACAATGTAGAACTATCATAAGAATTATAACTACTGGGACCGTAGCTAACATAAAGAAAAGAACATGAATGAATAATGTCTTCGCAACTTCATAGTTTTTTTTCATTATTTTTATTCCGCATGGAGTTGAACGTTCGATGTTAAAAGATACGGAGAGTCTCTGTTTCCGTGCGTATAATGCTTGAAATATCCTTGCATATAGATACACAAATATTACAGTCAACAGCGCAAGTTGGACGCATACAAATGTTAATGTTCCTTCAACATATGAAAAGACTTTGGTCTTCGGTAATGCATAGGCAGGAATCATAATCACACACACAATAATGACGAATATTAACCCCAGAAATTGAACCAACATCTTACGGACTTTCGAAGACAAATAAGTGTAACGGACTGGAACGACAATGGTGCCATAAATGTTTAAGGTGTGTAGGAGGTTTCCAATAAAGTATAAACTCACAGCACATGAGTTCAAGTATACAACAAGTTCTGCAGGGAATAAATTCCGATGACTCCAGAAAAACACGCTGTACAGAAGCAAAATCAGGGAGCAACCAAAATTTGCTGCTGAGTTAAAAGCCAGTAAAATTGCTGTTATATTTCGCAATTGTTTAAACGGGTCTTTTATTATAACAAGTAATAAAATGGCGTTGAATATCGCGCTTATCAAGGACATCACACCAATTAATGTCACGACAACATCTCGTTCGACTTCGTATTCCTGTGGTAAAAATATGAAACCAAATATGAGCAGAACACTTGGTTGTTGAGAAGCATTTCGCGATTGTTCCATAATTATTCTCTCTCGTTTAACACTTTGTTGTTGATAAAATCAACATTCGATTGAAATTCTGAAGAGGTGTTACTGAATAAACAATTATTTAAATGAATATATTGTCTTGCAATTGCCTACGCGCGTCATGGTCCAGACACACCGGACACGATTCGGCAACCGGCGACGCGATTTTTAGTTTTTGAAAGTTAATAAAACAGCCAATGAGAGCACATTTTAAAAGATATGTAGACCAAATAACTCAAAATGTTACAGCGCTTCTAAATATTTGGAAAATTTAAACTAGGGTAATAGTTATCGGTCAGTGAAATTCGAAAAATCGCATTTCCAAAATGTCTTTGTTACAGTCTGTTTGAATTAAATTAAAAGCTCAGATGATAACAATACTTGGGCGGTCTATGTTCTTGAAATGCTATGATTCCTATCTTTGCCAAAGATTCTTTGGAAAATGCAGGGACAGCTTGGAACACATGCATGTTTAGGATGTTTACTGTATTTTGTAACTGTGTCTGTGCTATACATTATACAATGTTGATATACATTTATATGCGTATAAAACTTTTTTGTAACTTGGTCATTTCCCAAACCTTCTTTGCAATTTCCAGGATAAAATAAGACTAGATTTCAGGAAAGGGAACGAAAGAAAGAAAATACGATGATTTTTAATGCACGATCATACACGAGCAGAGCAAGTTTCTTTGTTCGTTCTTTCGTGTCTAGTTTATATTATCTTTGGAAAGTGTAAGGATGGTTTGGAACACATTGATCGTGTGTTGTAATTTTGTTTGTAGCTTTGTTAACGTTTGTAACCCTGTCTCTATTGTTTTACAATGTCAATGTGATGTGTAGGTAGGACTTAATTTGGGACTCCTCAGTCCTGTTGTCTTGTACGTTCAATCGTTTTGTTGATTGTAAAGTTTATAAATGAATGCATGCAGATCTTTATTGTTATTTTAACTATTTTGTGATAGTCTTATACTGTATATATAGACGCGCGCAGGCCACGGACACGGGGACATGGAAAATTTCAGTGTTAAAAAGCACACATATTAACACGACGTACAGCACAAAAGCTAATGAATTTAACGAAATTGAAACTAAATTTATTTATACTGGATAGCTGTATTTCTTGTAGACTGCATGTTCTCACAGATATCTGGTGGTCTGGTACATTGCAACTACAGGACGAAACCTCAACTATATATAGACTCAATTTACTAATACTATAGAGAGTACTTATTTAGATATCTTGTAAATCTACTTCCTCATTAACAACATTCGTGATGTCATTTGGTTTTGGAATTTCACCTTTGGAGTCAGGTTTAATGTTTTGTGTTTTCTGCCTGCTATTCTTACTCCATCTTACAAATCATAGTCTGGACCCGTTACATTCTTTGCGGAAAAAGAAGAAAACCGGACGATGAAATCCCTGATCTTCAATGAAATCAAGTACGAATTCAATTCTAAGTAAATTTCGATGTGAAAGCCTTGTTTGATTACATGCCAGAAATAGATTAGTTTGGTATTTATGGAAACATTATAGCACTAATGAAGATGAGAACAGAACAGAGAACAGAACAGAGAACAGAACAGAGAACAGAACAGAGAACAGAACAGAGAACAGAACAGAGAACAGAACAGAGAACAGAACAGAGAACAGAGAACAGAACAGAGAACAGAACAGAGTACAGAACAGAGAACAGAACAGAGAACAGAACAGAGAACAGAGAACAGAACAGAGAACAGAACAGAGAACAGAACAGAGAACAGAACAGAGAACAGAACAGAGAACAGAACAGAGAACAGAACAGAGAACAGAACAGAGAACAGAACAGAGAACAGAACAGAGAACAGAACAGAGAACAGAACAGAGAACAGAACAGAGAACAGAACAGAGAACAGAACAGAGAACAGAACAGAGAACAGAACAGAGAACAGAACAGAGAACAGAACAGAGAACAGAACAGAGAACAGAACAGAGAACAGAACAGAGAACAGAACAGAGAACAGAACAGAGAACAGAACAGAGAACAGAACAGAGAACAGAACAGAGAACAGAACAGAGAACAGAACAGAGAACAGAACAGAGAACAGAACAGAGAACAGAACAGAGAACAGAACAGAGAACAGAACAGAGAACAGAACAACAGAGAACAGAGAACAGAACAGAGAACAGAACAGAGAACAGAGAACAGAGAACAGAGAACAGAACAGAGAGCAGAGAGCAGAGAGCAGAGAACAGAGCAGAGAACAGAGCAGAGAACAGAGCAGAGAACAGAGCAGAGAATAGAACAGAGAACAGAACAGAGAACAGAGCAGAGAATAGAACAGAGAACAGAACAGAGAACAGAGAACAGAGAGCAGAGAACAGAGAGCAGAGAACAGAGAGCAGAGAACAGAGCAGAGAACAGAGAGCAGAGAACAGAGCAGAGAACAGAGCAGAGAACAGAGCAGAGAGCAGACAACAGAGAACAGAGAACAGAGCATAGAACAGAGAATAGAACAGAGAACAGAACAGAGAACAGAGAATAGAACAGAGAATAGAACAGAGAACAGAACAGAGAACAGAGAACAGAGAGCAGAGAACAGAGCAGAGAACAGAGAACAGAGAACAGCGAGCAGAGAACAGAGCAGAGAACAGAGCAGAGAGCAGAGAGCAGAGAGCAGAGAACAGAGAACAGAGAACAGAGAACAGAGAACAGAGAATAGAACAGAGAATAGAACAGAGAACAGAACAGAGAACAGAGAACAGCGAGCAGAGAGCAGGGAGCAGAAGAGCAGAGAACAGAGAACAGAGCAGAGAACAGAGCAGAGAACAGAGAACAGAGAACAGAGAACAGAGAACAGAGAACAGAGCAGAGAACAGAGCAAAGAACAGATCAAGGGACAGAACAGAGAACAAAGAACAGAGAACAGAGAACAGAGAATAGAACAGAGAATAGAACAGAGAACAGAACAGAGAACAGAACAGAGAACAGAGCAGAGAACAGAGAACAGAACAGAACAGAGAACAGAGCAAAGAACAGAGCAGAGAACAGAACAGAGAACAGAACAGAGAACGGAGAACAGAGAACAGAGAACGGAGAACAGAGAACGGAGAAAGAGAACGGAGAGCGGAGAACGGAGAACAGCACAGAATACAGCGAACCAAGAACCGAAGTATTATATTTATTTTTACCCTGCGAACCTACGAAGTCAATGAATAAAAATGGTATCAAGATAACGAAATATCTTTAAAACAAGCAAAACATACTAATAGTAAAACAAACACAAAATTCGTGATAGCCATTACCTTTTTATCTTCAAATTCAAGGAAATAGAAATATTTCGAAAGTACGTTTGGTATATTAAAAATATATTTAGCTTGGGAGTAATTGCATTTATCGTCTGTGAAATTTACTTATGAAAACAGGAGAGTTTACTGTATATATAATGAATAATGGCAATTGGCAACGAATTAATTTAAATCTTCATGCAGGCAGAAAGATCAAGTAAAACTGTAAAATAAGTTACTATACAACTTTTCGAGCTCGTCTAGCTTTTTTCGATCCCGAAGTACTTTAAATGTCATTTGATATGGAAATGAAATAAACCTATGATATTAGAAGCAAATAACATATTAATTAAAGTGGATTCAATCAAAACTTATGATGAAATCATTCAATCTGTATACTGTTCTGTTTATTCCTTTGACCAATTTTCATACAGCGAGTTATGAAACAAGTAGGTGCTCTTACTTGGTTTATAGAATTGGTTTTATATTAGTTAACGTTTCCTCCTGTAGCTATATGGCGCTGCACCAATTAGTGAAGGATGATCCTCACTGGACGCCGGCTAGACATTTTATATAAGCTATAAGGTTTCCTAGTTCCAGCACTTACATAAAAAAAGCCTAAAGTATTTGTTTTATAATAAAAGGCTTAAGTATTTTGTTTTTAATTTTCTTTGTTCAGCTAGAAACGGTCGTCAAAATATTTCAATTCCTACAGAGAGATATCGTGTTCTATTTGGATATGCAACCAGTTGCGAGGCACCTAAAGCATGGGAGTCACACATGAATAAAATGAATACATTGAAGGTAACATTTTAACAGGCAAGTCCGCCTATCCAGGTATAAAATTCTCCCAACTGCATGCAGATATATATCGTGAATATATATCAGCTAAATTCTTCTCAACGAAAATCTGCCCCCTTTACCCTCTCGTCGTTGTGACGTCCCTGCACGGCCGATAAATTTTTACGATCTATAGTCTAAAACTACACCCGAGTGACAGACGAGTTTGTCAATTCCACGTTTCCGACCCAGGTAATGAGTTTCTTATAATATTTCCACCGCCGTGACAAATAACGTAACAAGCGCAAAAATGTCTGTCGTTACGTACATCTTTTGGAACTGATTTTGCCCTCGGTTTACGTTATAATGTAGCGTGAATCTTAGTCGAATGATTCCTCAGTTGTGATTATACATAAAGAAACGTATTTGAAAGTAATTTATACACGCCATGAGCAGTATACGTATGAGCTTTTATGAGTTGAAGCGGGTTTGCTTTTAAAAAAATGAAAAAGGCAAATGTTGTGATAATTGGCACGGCAAAAAAACGTAGGCCAATGGCAAGTATTTTTTTATTAGCAATATAAGCTTACCATGCCACAGCCATGATGATTAATTTCGATGAGGGCAGTCTGTGTTCGCAGGCTACACTGACTCCGCTCTACGGAAGACGAGAATTCTTAGGTATCAAGCTGTGTGTTGGAATCGTGAATAACAACGAACATGGACTGAATTCTTTGTTATCGGCTAAATCGAGCTGTTACATACGAAAGTCGATTAGTAAGAACGATGAGAACTTTTCAACTTTCTGAGATAAATACGAGCCGCTTTATTATTTTAGTGGTTCTGTATACAGTACATACTAGGCAGACCTATTAAATCTCCCGCATTTGGCGGGAAACTTCCGCATTTTAGAGACATTAATCATCTCCCCTGCATGCATGATCGAAGACAATTTGATGAAATCTCCCGCATTTCTTGTGGTTTATCTGCAGTTAATTCATTTTTGTTATTCTTGATAAATGCACAGCCGAGCAAGAGCGCGCTGAATGTAGTTTCAGTTGCGGGGCTATTCAATAGGCTTCCTTAGTTCACGCCGCAGATTTCAGAAGGTCATGGTTGCAGTGCCAGCTCGTTTGGACTGCAGAAAAATCAGAAATATTGTAATTTTCTTCATTTTATTCACAACTACCTTGGCAGGTCTGACAAGGATAATATTAGTATTAGTATACATTTTGCGTATCAAATGAGCTTTAGCGCGTTCTGATTGGCTAGTTGACCAGACTAGTAAATCTGACGCAAATCTTCGCCCGCGCGCAGGCAGGCAACCATGTTATAAACATTGGGCTGCCTATGATTATACACATGTAATTCAGTCTATGACTGCAAAATGTTGCCAGTATAATTTAGTAAACCCTCGAATAAACCATTTATCCATAATCCATCTATCTATCCATTGCACGAGAAATTCAAAAAATTCTACATACTTTCAGTACAGCATTTGACCGAATAATTTATTAGCTATATGAATTAAATATAGCTATTATAAATTGTATTGCATTTTATTTCGTTATTAATCTAGACGAATCTATAGATGCACTAATTTTACGACTTCCTGTATAATATACTGATATTATTATATAATTATACATTATTTTTTGTTTAACTAGGATATAAAGATCCCTATATAGACCTGATATTTTTCTACAATAGTAAATAATTATACTGTCTTTAATAATTATGTAACATGGGAAAAAATAATGAGCAGCGTTGCCAAGTCTGGGCATTTTACCTGGTAGATTTTTTGAAGCAGTTGGGACTTTTTTATTTTAAAAAGTCAATCTTGGGATTTTTTTTTATTTTGAGAAAGGGAAGTTCGAATTTAGAAATTGATTTTTTTGTAAAATTGATCAATAAACAATTTTGTTAAAAATCTAGGGTTCGTCCGCTTGTATTTAAACTCTATTGAGCTGCATATTTGATGTCAAATTTCGTTTTTACAACATGACATACGAGGCTATCCTGCCCGAAATTGGCGCGAAAACCACCTAAATTATAACGACGTAAAAAGTTGGAATTTTTAGGGAATCCGCGGGGTTTTTACAAAATTACAGTTGGCAAGGCTGATAATTAGCTATCAAAGTAACTAAAGTTTGCTGAGCAGAGCCGTGAAACAATTAGCCATTTCCCAAAGTCCTGGGTCTAGTCGCGCAAATCCCATGAGGAGGGACAAGAAATATGACAGCACACATTTAAATTAAAAATTTAATGTAAAAAGAGGTATTTCATTTTTGGTCGTCTAAAAAGATGATATTTGATAGTAGATACCTCTACTCTTTCACATATTTGTCGTCTGTCTCACAATGCACAGTGATCTCTTTTGGGAAAAGGCTAATTTCATTCCACCAGCTTTGCAATTAAAATGTTAGAACGAAGTTACTGTGGATACAGTTCCTGACCTTGGTTTATTTTCTTCCGGCTTTATGCTGCAATTATTATTGTTGCAAGGTTTCAATTTTGATCTTCGACTGAAACTTAGAGTTTGTTTCATCGCTTGTTTATAGCTGTTTAGCCTAAACAGCCAGAGGATCGGATGAAATACAAAAGTAGTGTAGACACAAGGCATTGTGAAGAGAAGAGCTAGTTGAAACTTGATAGGATCACCACACGAAGTACAATGTAGAACTATCATAAGGATTATAGCTACTGGGACCGTAGCTAACAAAAAGATAAGAACATGAATGAATAATGTCTTTGCAACTTCATAGTTTTTTTTCATTATTTTCATTCCGCATGGAGTTGAACGTTCGATGTTAAAAGATACGGAGAGTCTCTGTTTCCGTGCGTATAATTCTTGAAATATCCTTGCATATAGACAAACAAATATTACAGTTAACAGCGCAAGTTGAACGCATACAAATGTTAACATTCCTTCAACATAGGCAGAGACTTTGTTCTTGGGTAATGTATACACAGGAATCATAATCACACATATAATAATGATGAATATTAATCCAAGAAATTGAACCAATATCTTACGGAATTTCGAAGACAAATAAGCGTAACGGACAGGAATGACAATTGTACCATAGATGTTTAAGGTGTGTAGGAGGTTTCCAATAAAGTATAAACTCACAGCACATGAGTTCAAGTATACAACAAGTTCTGGGAATAAATTGCCATGAGTCCAGAAAAACACGCTGTCGACGAGCAACACCAGGGAGAAACTTAAGTTTGCTGCTGAGTTAAAAGCCAGTAAAATCGCTGTAATATTTCGCAATTGTTTAAGCGGGTCTTTTATTATAACGAGTAATAAAATGGCGTTGAATATCACACTTATCAAGGACATTGCTCCAATTAATGTCATGACAACATCTCGTTCGACTTCGTATTTCTGTGGCAAAACTATGAAACCAAATACGAGCAGAGAAGCATTTCGTGATTGTTCCATAATTATTCTCTCTCGTTTAGTACTTCGATGATAAAATAATTATGATTGAAGCTATTCAATTGAAGCTATCTTTGAATTTGGTTATTAAACGATTAAGCTATCTATATTGTCTTGTTCACTTGCGTCACGTCTCAAATACAGATTTTGAATGTTATCGATATTTTGCGATATTTGGTATGAAATATAAACTAGTCTTAAACGTTTGTCGCTTAATCCGATGCGACTAGCTAGTAGACTATGTTATCCTGAAGCGACGTCGCGTGTCTCGTTCAATTGATAATCTTTATTGGTGGTATTTTTGTGATCAGTCGATGTAAACCATTTGGCATTTACAATTTAGTCCATGGAAGCTGAACGAAATGAACAGATAAGATCTGAGTTTTCTACTCTGTAAATGAAAGCATGAGAACTCAGAGAATGATGGTTTTATTCATATAATGATACTTAACTTCAACTTAACTGTCAAAAACGCAATCGCGGAGATCAGTTGTTCCACAAGTGACCTGCCAAGAAGATGACGTCCTGTTATGATGCGAGTACCTGATATGACAGCAGGTGCTGAGTATCCTGTGGCGTGGCAAAGAAATCATTTAAAGAAGTCATTAACATTAGAACAAAGTTTCAAATTATTGCTGTCACTATGCAACATAAACATATCAAATACCATGGGGTAATAATTAAGGCCGTTGCTATATTACACACGTAATAAGTATAAAATAGAATTTGCAACATACATATTAAACAACAAAATGATTTCAATTATGCAGAGTGGTCAAAGTATAGCATAGGCTTTCGGCTTGACACCGCCCACGCATGAGTGAATAGCTGTATTCCTATCTATAAACATTAAGCTGATTGTTTAACCGAACTAAATGTATCTAGTTGAATATCAAAATGATACAGTATGTTTTTGAACGAAAGAAGTAAAGAAGTCAATAATAAATTTAAAATATAGAAATTAAATAATTATTTGTACTTAAAATAACCCTAATTACCCACCAAATATGCTTTATTAATATCGTAAAAATAAATATTGTTTCAGGTATCGTTATATTAACTATAAATTGTGTTTTGATCCTTAAACATCTTTGACCTCTTTCGGTCATAAAACAATTCTTTGTTTGGAGCTAGTCTTAATGATTAAATCCTCTAAGTACGTTCTTTACATGTATAGTCAATATCTATCAGCTGTGCATTCAAGCCCTTATACACACGCAATATTGAAAAAGTGACATAAATTGAACAGAAACCAAAAAAGACCATAAAAAGGATCACCTCGGCGTAGACGTGTACGTGCACTTACCTAACAGCCGTGACAGAGAATTCCCCCCCAACGTAATATCCGGAAACGTGGTGCTAGATATATCAGTCGTATATAGCCTTTTCGACAAGGGGAGAGGGGGAACTCGGTGGCTAAAAGCAGAATTACACAGTACTTTCGGTAGAGGAATGATGGGATTAACATAGGATCACGAGGTACAGCTGCCACGCGCCCACGCATCACTCACAACCCCTTAAATAATCTACTAAATATTGCGAAAATTTTGCCGTTGTTTTCCATCGAGTTGCCTGCGGAGGAGGCTATATCAGTCTGAACGGAAGTAGAATTGGATGACAGGCCCACGCAAGCACGCATTGCTCAATTACATATTCTCAATATCTGTCATATTCATCCATATTAGTTCAATATACCTGGTATCAAAATTAAAATTGATCTTAACATGTACATGCATGTGAACATCAAAACAAAATTCTTCTTTGTGCCACTATAGGCCAAGATGTTTCCTGTTGGTTCTTCTGAAAGGAAGGTAAAGATACGGGCGTGAGCTGAACAACACATACTAGAACCCGGGCAATATATTTTCCGTAACCAGTGAAATAAAAGATCTTTTGAAAGATAAAAAAAACCTCCAGCCATCAGAGGATCGATTAAACACCACAAAGACGGCCACCCTCTTCGACCCATAGTGACATGCAGAAGCTCCGCATTATATAACACTTCCAAATTCTTATCTGATATCCTTTCTCCTCTCCAAAATCACAACGGGTTTTCCGTGACAAACTCTACTCAATTTAGAAACGAAATTTTAAACTTAAACATTTCTGATGACGAGGCTATGGTTTCCTTTGATGTTGTCTCACTTTTTACAGCTATTCGTGTTGACAAAGCTTGCGCATACATTAAGACGAAGTTAGTTGACGACCATACACTAACGCGCAGAACAAAACTAGACATTAATGACATAATTCGACTTTTAGAATTTGTTTTATCTAACAGTTTTTTCATTTACAACGACACTACGTACAAACAAATACACGGATGTGCTATGGGTAGTCCAGTTAGTGCAATTGTTGCTAACCTATGTATGGAAGTAATAGAAGAACAAGCCATCCAACAGGCAACAATACCACCTAGGGTTTGGAAAAGATTCGTTGACGATAGTTTTGCTATCATGAAAAAGTCTACTATTAATAGTTTTCACGACACTCTCAATTCTATTGACTCTCACATCAACTTTACAATTGAGCACGAAAAAGACGGACAACTTGCATTTCTTGACACCTTAGTTTCTCGCAACAACGGCTCAATTTCAACCACGGTTTACCGTAAACCTACACACACTGACCGCTACTTAGATTTTTCATCATGCACACTATGACGAAAAACATAAGATTAGTGCAGGCAACACATCATGCAAAATCCAGGAATTTAATTCACGTTTGTGAATCTCTCACACTCAATGGCTATCCCAAAAACTTGGTTACGAGAATCACTCAACAACAAAGAAATGCACCAACTCCATCTCCTGAAGAATTAATCAGAACGTTTTTTGAATCGGTTGAAGGAAAAACACAACCCACCGGATACGCAGTTTTGCCCTACATCAAAGGCCTCACGGAACCTCTTACAAGGTTACTACAAAAGCACGACGTAGAAGTTTGCAACAAGCCAATGAAAACCCTCCAGCAAGAATTTCCATCCGCAAAACACCGACCTTCATCCGAAAATCAGACAAACGTGGTTTATCGTATACCGTGTCAAAGTTGTCCATGGAGTTATATAGGAGAAACCGGAAGGTCACTGAAGACAAGAAAATCGGAACACGTAAGAAATGTAAAGAATCACAAGACTGGATCTAATGTAGCAAAACATGCATGGACTTATGACCACAGGATTGACTTTGAAAACGCGGAAGTTATCGATAAGGGAAATGTTAGGACCCGGAAAACTCTAGAGTCATGGCATATGCAGCCTTAACAACTGATGCTGACAACAATTCATGTCCACTTCCCGGACAATATACTGTTCTTATAAAAAAGCAGTCATAGTTGACAATACACACTCATATTTCATACGCAATTATGCTAATCTTTCTGTATATACAATAATAGACTATAGTTTCATATTTCATACACTCATACCCGTTGAAGGCTACAGATTGATAGCCGAAAGCTTGTAATAAATATATATTTTTGGTCAGAGAGCGTCTATTTTATTATTATTATTATTATAAAAAAACCGTTGTAAATTAACCTTCAAACACGCTTAGGCAACAAATAAACCTTTGTTCTTCTTCTGATTCATTTTCCAAGGTCTATTATGAACTCGTTTACATGAATTTTGTTCTACTATTTTTGTTCTACTACATGAATTTTGTTCTACTAGGATTTTTATCTCATGTAAGTCTGAAACACAAACTCATTAGAGGCCAAGGCCAAAGTCCACGAACGAGAATGGTAATTTCCAATGGCCATGCATATGCACTAGTACCATGCAAACGATACGTTATTGTATCAGTGAATTTTGGCAGCTACCTAACTGTAGGCTTTTGGCATATAATAATTATACATAACTATTATGTAATTATTCTGTGGTTTTTTTTCGCCGTCGATAAGACCAAATGTTCTTATTTAAAGTAGAAAAGTGAAGAGTAATTGGACAAAAAACCTCATGGAAGAGAAAGCTGTGACTGCTGACCGTGTGTTTTTAATGCATTTTGACACTAAACATAGCGCTGTATGGGGTATGCTGCAGTCATGCCCAAACACAGCCAGATGAGGCCCATGAGGGTGGTAAAAGGAGGGTTGGATCACGTTTCACGTGAAGAAAAACAGCCATTACACGTTTCACATGCAAAATACTAACCATTTCACGAAAATTAAAAATCACGTTTTTAATAGTTTGTAACTTTTTAAAAAATTTTTTGGTGGCCTCTGCAGCTATGTTACTTAACATCCCTTTCTGCCTCGCCTATTTAGTGTAGGTTTTTCCCGTTTCATACATCATGTGACAGTCTCGATTGGGGATGGAGGAGGGGTATATCATTAGTTGGCTAAGGATTTCAGTAATCCTTATGCTGGTTATGGTGCTTGATTACTTATGTGCATCTTAACCAGATACCAAGTCCATCTCTATCGGCAATAGCGGGCAAACTTAGTTAAGAATAATAAATGTAAGAGTCATTGTAGCCCTAGTGTCATGTTTGTAACGTATTTTTGAAAATAGTTTCATTTCGTGTAAGGACACGCAAGAGACACGAGAACGCGCGCGATGAGAGAAACACATGGAAAACTTTACAAGCGCCATTGTTGTTAATAATTTAAAATTTATTTGTCAACTCGATGCATGTTTTGTATCGTTTAAATACATTGTACCAAATATTGAACCTTTGAATCCTAAATATCTTACATGGTCTTTCGTAACCGAATTTACAACGAATAATGGGTGACGAGTTGAAGAAATTGGTAAAAATACGCGGTGGTCATCGAGGAAATCTGAAGAAAACTTTAGCGTTAACAAAAGGCACAGAAGAACTCTTAGTTTTTTGAAATTTCTGAAGAAGCACAGGCAAGTGGCATTGAGATAAAACTTACACAACAACGTTTAATTTTAAACGAGAATTAGCACTTTTCAAGGATTTTGACGATAATATTATTCTTTTGGTCGAAGATGCTAACATAGAAGAGGAATATCTAATTCTGATGAAATACGACAAAGTATTCAAAAGGCAATAGTTCATATTGATTCAATTTGGGGAAAGCTGAAGAAAAAGTGGAATGAGGACGATGGTTCTTCATCATCAAGTCTAGATCTAGAAACATCTCAATCGCAAACAACAGGGACAGCTGTGCCCAAGAGTACGGTAAGATTACCCAAGTTCCCATTAAAATGTTTTAGTTCTAATTGATGGAGTGGACCACATTCTGGGACTCATATTCCTCTTCTATTCTGACTATTCACAAGAACCCGAATTCAATTATTTACATAGTCTATTGGAAAAATCTGCTGCAGAATTAGCAATATCAGGTCAGAAGATAATCTAAGCAAACTACCAAGAAGCAATAGACATTTTAACTGCACGATTTGGTACCAGTAGCAAATTGTCAACGCCCACATGAATTCCTTGTCAAATTTACCCAAGGTGACCAATGTACTGTAGAAGACTTAAGTGGTCTGAGACAATTACATTATTAAATAGAGAGCCATATGAGAGAGTTGAAATCATTTGGAGTTGACTCTAGTTCATTCGGAAGTCTTTTAACACCGTACCCATTTTAATTGATAAATTATCCAAAGGACCGTAGAGGAACTTATTAAGATTTTTGGAATGGAATTAGAGGCTCGAGAGAGGGCAAGTCTCCTACAAGGTAGTTCAAAAGGTCCCCCATTTACATCACCATTTAAGCCTAGGTTCCCACCTGCTTCATCCATGTTTGCTAGTGGAGTGAGCGCAACATGCATGTGCACTGCCAACAACCACACCCCTCAAATAGCTGTAGCACAGTAATTGCCATAAACGAGAGAAAGGAAATTCTGAAACGGTCTGGAAGATGCTATATTTGCCTCAGAATAAATCATCTTGCCATGGAATGCAAATAAAAAATTAAGTGTTTTAAATATAATGAGCGTCACCACATTAGTATTTTCCCATCAAATACAAACTGAGGAGAAAGCTAATCCACCTGAACAGGAAGAATCCCCTCCTCCCCTCCTCGCCTCCCCAAACTCACGGAACAAATCCCTCGAAGAATTAACGAAGAATTAACGCACGAGCTTACGAATAAATGGGAATTCCAGAGAAAGTTCTTTTTTACGGCTTTCAGGGACTTTGTGACGCATTCGTTAAGGCCTATGGGGCTGTTATCCATCTGAAATTGACCACCTCAAATGGAATGTTCCTTAACTTTGTTATTGCCAAGACAAGAATATCTCCGATCAATAAACAGATTATTCCACGATTGGAACTTCTCTCAGCAGTCATAATAGCATGTGTTACCTACGAAGAACTTGAAACAATCCTGACGGAGATTGAGTGTGTTCTGAATTCAAGGCCGCTGACTTATGTCTTTACCAAAGACCTCAAGGAACCTTTGCCACCATCCCACCTCCTTTTTATTATCGTTGCTTTCTGGTGATGTACCGGAGTTAGATCCTGATTGGACCCCAAGTCTGACGAACTTACCAGACGTGTTGTTTACTTACAGAATTTGATTGATACATTTTGGGACAGTTGGTCGAACGAGGTTGAAAGGGAAGGTTGAAAGTTTGAAAGGTTGCTCGAAGGCGAAGACAAGAAAACTCGTTCTGAATTCACGACAAAGAAGTGGAAAGTAAAACACTGAAAAGACCTATATATTAACAAAACTGCATTAATTGGAAATAAGATCACGAAAAGAAAATAATTCGAACACAGAGATCGTGCGTGAGACGCTGAACAATGTGGAGCAAGAGTCGGCACAAGACCAAGAGAAAATTATTAAGACAGCGACGAAGATCTGCAGTTACTATGGCAGATGTCCAAAGGAAGCAGTGATACATTTAATGAACACATTCTGTGACATTAGTTAAAAATTTTAACCTATTTGAAGTTTTGTTATTGTTAGTTCTTGACCAGAACTTTAGGTCAACGGGGAGGGTGTAACGTATTTTTGAAAATAGTTTAATTTTGTGTAAGGACACGCGAGAGACACGCGAGCGCACAATGCGAGAAACACAAGGAAAAATTTAGTTACAATCGCCATTGTTGTTAGAATTTATCATTTGTCAACTTGTTGCATGTTTTGTATCGTTTAAATATAGTATATTATACCGAATATTATTATTATTATTATGAACAATATTTTTACACGGTACAATTTCACCTAATAAAAATAATTATGTACACAATATAAAAAGAAAAAAGGTGATCCTCCAACCGGCCGTGCTCACACAAGTAGAAGTAAATAAGAAATATATTATTTACAAGAAGATTATTTTAAATAGATAGAAACAAAGGCAGGATTACTTGATGTTAATTTGCATGTTTCAAGTTAAACTTAAAATTAGCAATAGTTGTCGATGCTTTCAGCGATGCAAAAAGGCAGTTCCAGACTTCCGCACCTCTACAGGAGAATGCATTTTTCATATTATTTGTTTTTGGTTTGGGCAATGTCAAATCGGCCCCCGACTGTCTTGTGTTATGGTCGTGTACATCACCCACATTTGTGAACATATCACGCAAGTAATCGGGGATATAAATTATATTATATAATCAAATAATCAAATAATGTAATCAAATAACTGAGCTTTGAATCCTAAATATCTTAGCGGAATGTTGATTAATATCGTATTCAATGTTAAACAGTGTTAAAATAATGCTTTAGTACTTATCGCTTCGCTTTTTTTTGTATATATTTCTTCTCAGATCAACTTAATCCATCAAAGGAAAAAGGTATTTTCGTGAGCCTTAATTAAATTGCCAATATTTGTTCACGTGAAATGTTAATTAACGGATTTTTGTGCCGTGAAATATGATTTACATGCGCGGATTAGTAATAGACGTACACTCCACTTTTCATTGATTTACATCATCAATGATGATATGGGAACTCCATTAGAGGGATTTCATTCGAACACCTAAAAATACCACATAGTTTGCTAGGGATCTACTATGAAGTATTGCGTGTCTGCGTTTACTTGTGTCCAGTCTCTTTAGCCAAGTTATGTATAGTCGATCGAGATTTCGATTTGAGAATTTGTGTCTGTCTGTTTGTAAAGATGTCGTAATTCCGGGGAAATAATTAAGGCTTCAGGAAGTTTTTTAAACGAGGGGAGCGGTCAAAATTTATTTTGTATTGCGCTAGCATGATATATGTTGGAGTTTCACAAATCGACAATATTTTGAATAATTCAGGTAAGGATAGTTTTATTTCTTTCTGGTGATATTACATCAAGGCATTTATATTTAGATCTGATGTTTAGTCTTTAGAGTCAAAATGATGTACACTTTTTACGGAGCCGTATTAGTGCCATTGAAATATTGCGCTTGGATTTCATATTTCTCGACTTTTTTCTTTCGTCTAACATTTTTACTCGCGTGTGAAATTTCATATTTCTCGACTTTTTTCTTTCGTCTAACATTTTTACTCGCGTCTAACATTTTTTCTCGCGTCTAACATTTTTTCTCGCGTCTGAAATTTTTTCTCGCGTCTAACATTTTTTCTCGCGTCTGAAATTTTTTCTCGCGTCTGAAATTTTTTCTCGCGTCTAACTTTTTTCTTGCGTCTGAATTTTTTTCTCGCGTCTAACATTTTTTCTGGGTTAGGATAAAACGCGGATACGGACGGACGGATGGATGGCGGACGGACGGACGGATGAGTGGCGGACGGATGGATGGGTTAGGATAAAACGCGGATACGGACGGACGGATGGATGGCGGACGGACGGACGGATGAGTGGCGGACGGATGGATGGCTTTCAAAAAACGTTTTTCAGCCTTTTTTGAGTCATATCCGCGTTTTATCCATAAGGTAAAACGCGGATATGGTCCAGAAAACCTTTTCAGCCCTTTTTAGTCATATCCGTGTTTTATCTAAAAGGATAAAACGCGGATATGGTCAAAAGAACGTTTTATAAGGGCATATCTATATGTATAAAGAATATTGAATATTGTCCCAGAATTTGAACAAATAAAACAATGTCTTTTCGCCTAAATACTCACTGCCAGATAAGAGTCCTAAAATTACAATTTAGTGTTAATAAAGTTTAAATTTAGTGTCAGTTATCTGGCATGTAGTACTCCAATTTTATGCCAACGTAATGTGCTGTTTTTCAAAGGCTTTTCAGTGCAGTTATCGGTTTAAATATACATAAAAATTCCCGTTAAGATAAGACAATTTCCGTACGACCTACCTTTACACGAACGCAAATTACAATTGCAACTTTCATGCTTAGTTTTCTCAGTTATCTGGCATGTAGTAATCCAATTTTATGCCAATGTAAATTATGTAATGAGCTGTTTCTCAAGGGTTTTTCAATGCAGTTATCGGTTTAAATATACCTAAAATTCTCTTTAATTAAGATACGACAAATTCCGTATGCATGGTTACCCTGGATTCCAGAGCCTTCGACAGTAAATAATAAATTGAAATGTCGCGAAGGCTCTGGTTCAACGGGGCGATTCTTTGATTAAACCGCGCCAATCACAAAACTGAATTAGTGGTTTTAGTACAGAATCTGTACTAAAACCACTAATTCAGTTTTGTGATTGGCGCGGTTTTATCAAAGAATCGCCCCGTTGAACCAGAGCCTTCGCGGCATTTCAATTTATTATTTACTGTCGAAGACTCTGGAATCCAGGGTAATGCATGGTCTACTTTTACGCAAACGCATGCGTGCATGCAAATAGCTACAAATTAAATGCAACTTTCATTCTTAATTTTCTCTGTTATTTGTGTATGTAGTAATCTAATTTTATGCCAATGTAATGTGCTGTTTTTCAAGGACTTTTCAATGCAGTTATCGGTTGAAATATATCTAGAAGTCACTAAAAGTACGGCCTTACTTTATACAATTGCCACTTTCATGATTAATTTTCTCAGTTATCCGGCCGTGTAGTAATCTAATTTAACTAATGCATTTTATGCCAATGTATATGCCAAAGTGGCCGCATAAATTTTAGATTACTACACGACCGGATAACAGAAAATTAATCTTGAAAGTGGCAATTGTAATTCGCGTTTGCGTACAAAAATTGTCATATTTTAACGGGAATTGTAGGTATATTTAAACCGATAACTGCATTGACATTCTTTTGACCATATCCGCGTTTTATCCTTTTAGATAAAACGCGGATATGACTCAAAATAGGCTGAAAAAGTTTTTTGAAAGCCATCCATCTGTCTGTCCGTCCGCCACTCATCCGTCCGTTCGTCCGCCATCCATCCGTCCGTCCGTATCCGCGTTTTATCCTAACCCAGAAAAAATGTTAGACGCGAGAAAAAATTTCAGCGCGAGAAAAAAAGTTAGACGCGAGAAAAAATTTCAGACGCGAGAAAAAATGTTAGACGCGAGAAAAAATTTCAGACGCGAGAAAAAAAGTTAAACGCGAGAAAAAATGTTAGATGCGAGAAAAAATTTCAGACGCGAGAAAAAAGTCGAGAAATATGAAATTCAAGCGCAATATTTCAATGGCACTAATACAGCTCCGTAACGTTTGGTTTTATATTTGCTTGCGTGGCGATTTGCCAAGGCAATGAGTTTAATAGTGTTCATTCTAGATGTTCATAGACATAGCAATTTGCTTTCAAACGTTTTAAAAACAAACGCTGAATGTTGTGTATACTTTATAATGTAAAGATATTTCGTATAGCAACCATAACCCGGCGACAGACGACAGTGTGGATTGTTGTCTGCATATATTAACGTACCAGCAGTTTAATAGCCTACATGAATTAATATATTTAATATAACATGTCAACCGATTTTTGTACAAGGTATGGCGGTCTGTAAAAATATATCTCTG